TATTGCTACTCAAGCTCTATCAAATGCAAACCCAGGCATGGTCAAGTATGCAGTGGCACGCCTGGGATAGGAAAGTCAATGTTTCTATACTACGTGATGTGGAAGTTGATAAAGGAGAAGAAACGAGTGCTGCTTATGACCGAAAAACCAGCGATCTACTTTGATGGTTTCACCGTAATGGAGTGCGGGAAATTACCTTATTTGACCAATTGGCGATTCTGGTCGTACGATTTGTGGTGTCTTACGGATTCGGTGGACCCAAAAAGAATTGCCGGATGTTCCATCCATGAATGCTCGGTTTTGCTCGCAAGCACACTGCAATGGGATTGTATTAGTAAGTTCAAGGAGCTTGTTCCAACTCCAGATGTACTCTACATGCCATTGTGGACAAAAGAAGAACTTCGTACCATCGCTTCCTTATATCCAAATGCAGACAAAGTGTGGGAGAATCGGTTTAACTGCTTAGGTGGTGTGCCTCGTCTAGTATTGCAAGACATCCAAACAGACCCGCAAGTTCAACTGATGTCGGCATGCACTAATTGTTCTCTTAATGACTGTATTATGATGGTGTCTATATACTCTGAGATGAACTCGGTTCAGACTTTCATTCACATCCATAGCCAAAAACCGTATTTAAAGTACGAAGTCGTTTATGCTTCAGAATTGGCGGTGCAAGTGATTGCTCGAACGAATTGGCAGAAGTGGCTGACGAATCACACGAAGATGCAAAAACTTCTCGGTTCGTGTGATATAAACCCACTAGCACAATCGTTGTGCCGCTACATCTTTGAACCACATACGATGAATTTGCTGGAGCAAGGCGGGACATTTGTATGCCGTAAGCTGCATTCTGGTGCCGAATTCCGAAAGTTCAACGCGACCAAACGCAACAGAGGTATTACAGGAAATGAAGACGAAGAGATAATCAACATCCCACGATCGTTGCAGTGTCGGCAAATAGTGGAGCGTGTGGATGTCGATCAAGTTGAAAATCAGCTGTACGTGCCACGGACATCGAATTATACTGCTATTGACGCTTGGATTCCGCGCGTCGGTGGATTCCAAATGACGGTTGGAAAGGAGCACGACATCAAGGGTGGAGCGGCAACGGATCTCGCCAAATTGGGTGCAAACGGTAACCGGCTATATTTTCTGCTTCCGCCCCTATACTACGAGTCGTTCAGGAAGAAAATTCCCTATACCATCGAGCAGTATGCAATCCTTATACCTTATCCAGAGGTGGTGTAGTATCTTTAATCTGTACTCAAAATGGCAAAAATGAGATCAATAAGACTTCTAGTCAGATTTTTGGCCACTACAGCACATTAGATTTATACCTCTTTAAACCCTAGACAAGTCGAAGCACTCTCTCATGTGATTAGTGAGCTTTGGGCTACTTGTTTCTCCATAGAAAGAAAGGTTTTACATTATATCAACAGGGCGACAAATCTATGGGCCGTAGCTCCAAGAGATCGAATTCTTTTAGGTTAAGCTCATTTAATTTCTGTTAACAAGAGAGGCGACGCCTGGCTGACTGAGAAGGAGGTGGACGCGATTTCAAATCATTACGTGTTGTGGTAGCCTCGCTCCATTTGGTTGGCTCGTCGGAAAAAGATGTTGCGTTTGAAGTCACGATGGAGGATGTCGAGACGATGAACACCCATGTTTACGTGTTGGTTATTGTTCCGACCGAAAAGGCAGATGCTCTGGCTGTGACCCGAGGAGCCGCATCGTCAATAGCAATACCAGCTGCTGAATCGACGAAAATCTCCGTCACGGTCGTAGAAGGCCAAGACACAAAGGAATATTGGCAAGAGCTGACGTACTATCAACATTGTGGACGCCTTATCCAAGACAAATACCGAGTTTATTTTGTGCAAATTTTGGACAAAGTCGACGAGTTCTATGACGAGAACGAGCACCCAACCCCGTTAATCTGCGCGCAAGGATCAACAGGCATGGGGAAATCGCAACTAGCAATTGGATTGGGTGGCCGACGAACGTATTTTTACTGGCTTGCCACTCCTCTTGAATCCAAATCCCAGAGCCTCTACCAGAATTTTTCGACGATATCTGCTGCATTTTTGAAATTGTCGAGAAAGATAACCCAACAAAGGAGAGTGAACAGGAAATCTTGAACTCCAAGTCGAATGTGTATGAGACTGGCCTAATGTGGACGTACGGATTTATTAGGGCACTGCTTGAATATTGCAGCTCCGATGAGCATCAAAACACGTCGCGAATGATTCGTTTCGACAACCAGACAGTCTTGAAAATGAAATGATGCAACATGAGAGATGTTCGCGCTGTGCTTGGTAAGATGAAGGCAGAGAAGAAAAAATTACTTTTTTTTGTTCTTGATGAGATGACTTGCAACGCAAACATCGATGCTGGGGGGAAGCAGATGGCCGCCTTTCAACGCAACGTCTTTCGTGTCTGTGGTTTGGTGGCTGTCATCATGGGTATAGACTCGAAGATTACCAACCTGTTTGGACAGTCTTCAAGGCGCCGCACAAATGGATGTCGCTTGTTCCTCGATTTCCTCGGTATTAACTGATGCCGCACAATAATCTAGGACGGCAAGGCTGGTCGAAAGCTGTAAAGCAATACCCAGTCCTGCAAGATATTGCTACGCATTCTCGTGGGCGGTTTGCGAGGCATTTTGTCGACAAAGTCCTGGAATGCGCGATTAGAGACTGCACCATCAATCTCTGCGATTTGATGGTGCCGCTGTTAGCTTGAGATTGCATGACGGCAAGAAATTTATGCACTCACATGATGAAAAAAAGGCACAGCTGCTGGCAATATCATATATCAACCACACCGGCAACGCATCTTTCAGAAAGAAGCGCCGAAATGAAGCGGGGACGTTCGGCATGCATTTGCATTTCGCAAATCTAGTCGACGAGCTGCTGACTGATATGAGCTCATCAGATGACACGTTGAGAGCGAAGAGCAGTGGAACCTGGAGACCGACATGCTGCTTTTCGGCAATCGATAAAGACATGCTATTGTATCTCGCAATATTGGGTGGGAAAAAATTCCAAACTACTATGACCACGAAACTCGGGAGAAGTACTCAACGAAGTATATCTTCGCAGCCACAGAAGTATTCTCTGTCCATGAGAACACGAACGCTGTGTCTCACGACTACAGAGCGTTCGAGATTATGGTTGCACATGCAATCTTTTGTTCGCCTCGAAGGAATGGTGTAGGAGGAATCCCATTCAATGACTTCTTTGCTTGCTTGCTGGAAGAATTTCAAGACAAGTTTTGGAAAAATATGAGCATGTATATTGAAAAAGACAGAAGGATTGAGGCCAGTGATCTATTGAATGATTATTCGGCAGACTTCCAGCGTTTGTTGAGTACAATTGTTCCTTTCCTCGCTCCTCCCAATGCTGAGTGGCCGATGTGGATTCTCGCCCAAAACTCTTACGGGCGCAATTTTGCTAATTTGGTTCGTGCCAGCAATGAAAAACGGTGTGATGTCTACGTCCGAGACGCGGAGATCAAGAATAAAAACCGATTTTCATTTGCGAGTGCAAGTCCTGGAAAAAGAACGTCGATATGAGTGTAATGGACAATATCATTGATAAGCTGAATCAGAAGTAGAATTGGGAGGTCGTGTTTTTGTTTTGTTTGAAGCTGGTGAGCTTTCGTAAGCCTTGGGGGTATCTAAGTGTTGGCTGTGTCAAAATTGATTACCGGGATGGGGGAGTACAATGGATTTTCCAACCACCTGAAAAAAGGATCGGAAACAACTCCTCATTGTGTTCGAAACCACAGATCAGAGAATAAATTTGGCGTGACTCAGACAGACAACAAATCCGTCAGTGCAAAGGAGGTGAAAACTTTAAAGAAAGGAGTGATATCAGAGGTTCAAGATAGTTAATAAGTCGGTTTACGTGGTTGTTTATAAGTTTTTTATGGGTGATTTGAGAATTAATTTCTACCTGACTATAAACATAGTTTAGAACATTCGAATGTATAATAATACGGAGTACAAGATAAATCAACTAAATAGCTAATCGATAATAACAATAGAAAAGTTCTTCGTCGGATGTTGTAGATAACATCGGAGCTCTAAAGGAGCGAAAAGTGAGGGTGACACCAGACGACGCGGAGTGCGTGTATACCCTGGTCTTACCGAGACATAGAACCTCTGTACAGAGACGACGGCGACGCCGTATGCTGGCTGCAAGA